CAAATGCTCTTGTGAAAACATTTATCTTTAATTTCTTTAGAGTGGTGTGTGGTGTTTTTTGATGTTGGGTACTGTTTAAACCCACACTGGCATTTACTTTACTGCTATTTTGTTGATATACATTTCTGGCAGCTGCCTAATCTCCTGCTGCACCTTCTTCTCAGGCTGGGCCTTACTGATGCTGCAAATTGGAAGCATGCACACACCAAGCTCTCTCCTTTCCCTCAGAGCAGCTCTGTGTTAGACTTTTGTTACACAAGCAACCCTATTTCCAGTACAGAGCAGCCAGGAACATAAACTGCAGCTAGGTGTCATGGTCCTGAGCAGTCTATAAGGCCTCATACACACGGGCTTATGAAAATAAGCAGCACTTTTTTCTGAATTTGGCTGAAAAAAACACTTCTAATATTATTTATATAATGCTCATATGGCGTTTGTGTGTTATTGCATTCTACTGGCCAGAATATTCATTTATTCTGGTCACTGGAATACACGTCTTTGGGGGGGGGGGTTGCCTGTAAATGCTCCTCTTCAAATATTCCTGTAAACGTCTATGTATGCATGGCCACATAGGCTAACATAGAGGTGCTTTTAAAACAAAAAAAAAGTGAACACCTCTATAAGCGGCATATTTTAAGCTCCATGTGCATGAGGCCTAATAGGTTGTGGATCATTCTCCATTTCCTAGGTGAAGAAACTGCACTGATCACAGCAAAGTATTGGGATACTGTTCTCCACTTCTTCAGCTACAGTCATTCTTCTCCAGCTGACAATCTGCAATGTTCACAGAACCTTCACTGATTTTTAACCCCTGTTATATGACTGGGCTCAAGGTCAATGGGTAGTCCTGAGGATTTTAGTAGTTCTTTTTTCTTAAAGGTAAACCCCATTTTTTGGAAGTAGGCTTATGCCTGGCACCAAACTAAAAGGTGGATGCCCTGCAGCTGCAGGCAAATCTGATAACCAGACTATAACTCCAGTTTGTTTAAGGTTTGACTTGGGACAGGAAAAGGTTGGGTCTTTCACTGCATTTTCTACAAATCTCATTTGGAACTGCCTGTGTTGCCCGCCATTTCTGATCCTCCTTTTCTTCCTCGAAGGCTCTTTCCACTTGCTTTGCTGTAACTACCCTTTGTGGGAGACCGTCTTTTCGGCAATTCACTGGACAAGATCTTTAACACTGGGTGATGGGAGTGAGATTACTCTTTCCCAGCTATGCTAGCATAAGGATCAGCATTGCATAGCAACATCCTATACCACATCAAGTTGTTCCTTTAATTTTTCTACGCCGCACCTTTTAGGATCAGATAGTTTAAACTGCCCTTGGCAAAGGAAGGGATCAACCCTGCAGATGAATCCACTTTAGTTTGAACTTTCACCTCTCAGTTTCATCAAAGGTACAGAGATACCAGATGGAAAGCCTGCATAACCAGCACATGGATGCAGGAGCATCCAAAGGTTATGAAATATAGTTAGAGATCTTCCATCCTTCAAATGATAGATTTTTTTTTTTTCATATAATTCTGCTTACAGTTCTAAAACCAAAAGGAGGCTTTTGTTCTATTTTGGATTTCAAAGTATAACTAAAGGCAAAACATTTTTTTTTGTTTTAAATAAAGGGATTAGAACATTTGTCAGGATTTTATTACTGTCTGTGTCCTTGTTAGGGAGATTCACCATCTCTTTGTCCTGTTTACTATTATCACCAAAAGTATATAAAAAGCCCAACTTTGGGTTGTTGTTACCAGAGCAGGCATAAACTGTATATCTTCCAATGAGGACACTAGTTCTGGTGGCAAGCAGGGATTCCCTCCCTTTTGATGGATTTCTTTTCACTTCCTTTTTTGGCTATGGAAAAGGAAGTTAGGCTATTGTGCCCATATAGCTGCTGTTGTGTCCATATAGATGCACAACAGCATCTATATGGGCACAACAGCATCTGTATGGGCACAGCATAATAAATATGCTATTGTGCTCATATAGATGCTATTATGCCCATATAGCTGCTGTTGTACCCATATAGATGCACAACAGCAGCTATATGGGCACAACAACATCTATATGGGCACAACAGCAGCTATATGTCTATTGTGCCCCTATAGTTGTTACTGTGCCCCTATAGCTGCTATTGTGCCCATAAAGATGCTATTGTGCATCTATATGGGCACAATAGCATCTATATGCGCACAGCAGCAGCTACAGTGGATATGTAGCCTTTAGTTCTACTGCAGGGCTCTCAATGCCTTTCTTCATCTTATAAGGTTTTGTATGGAATTTCTTCAGTCAGTTATATCCTTCTTTCGTTATAGATAAAGTGTTAATAAACTCAAAATCAAAAATATATTATATATTGTAATTTACAAATACTTAAATGTGGTGGCTGCATTGTTTTTTAAGGGGCTTTCCTTTATTTTCACCTGGTGATCCGGCCAGTAACACACTTTCTGTCTTAGGGCGTTTCTACTCTGGATTGAAGAGCAATGGGGACACCTTTGGACGGTGGCTTTCTTAAACTGGGGAGAGGATAATGTTATATGCATTAGCAAATTTAGATGGGACTTGAATAACAAACTAAAGCCTAAACTCCTGCTAACACTGTTTTAGCAGTTACAACATTTTTTTTTCCTCTTTTGGGATAAAGTGAAAAAAGCCTAAAAAATTTAAACGAATGCAGCCATAACATGTAAGAATTGGTAAGCTGCACTACAATATAGTTTTGGTTTTTGGTTTAATACTGCTTTACTGTTCCTTGACACTAGGATGTTTGTTTACACAATTCTATCTTTACACAATTCTATCTTTACAAGTCCTTAGCAGTTTATTTGCTTTAACTTGGGTGGCAAATACCATTAGTTTGTGGCCCTTTACTTTTGGCTTTGTATCAGCCTTGAGAGTATTCGCTAAGGTACTCAAATCAGTTCTCATTCTGAACTTGATACCCAGACTATCTGTTATTGTAAAATTAGTCCTCTTTTGCAATAAACTCCACAGTGTTGATCATGAAACAGACCTTAGAGGACTTCGGATGGATTCACAACTTTGCGCCGTCATCGCTTTCACTTTACATGGATTTTTGGATTTTTTCAATCTTCCCATGGACACCTTTCAAAACTAGGTTTTCCTACTCCAGTAGAAGTTGATGAAACAGCAGAATAAGGTTCAGCAACTGCTAACCTGTCATTGGTCTTCCCTATGGAGTTGCATGCAAGTGCTAGCATTGATGGCTTCCATCAGTTCCATTGCTCAGTTCATTCCAAAACTTATAATGGCACATTCTGGGAAAAATCCAGTCTTTTCTCTAGACAAAATGGTCTGGCTGCATCCTTGAACCAAGATTTCTCCTTCATAGTAGCTTATCCCCAGCATTGTCAGAGAGCGGGTTCTTAATTCCCTTACATTGGAAGTATTTCTCAAATGACACCAACCTTCTGGGTTGGGACAGAGTTCTGAATCATCTGTATGTTCAGGGTTGTTGGTTTCAGAAAGAATATAAAGCTTCTAATGCACATTCTGTAGTTACCAGCCGGTTTTATGTTGTGTTACTTGAAACCGACCACCCCCATATTCTGACTGACCATCAGTTGGACAATGACATAAATGTGGCATTCTTCAAGGGGGTGCAGGAACAGAGGTAGAGTCAATCCTTTCCTAGGCATATTTGTGTGGTACAGTTTCCCAAGGTGGAACAATAGCATTCAAATTTTCTCAGCAGACAGGGCATACAGAGGGGAACTCGTTGGATCACCCATTGGATAAGGATGCTGCTGTTGTAGCATATGCTGCAACAGTAATTTAAAGATTCACCATCAGCCGCATAGAGGTGGTACTTGCATAATCACATTCCTGGAGTTCTTCTTTAAGCCCACTTTGGTAGACTTTTCAGTGTATTTGGGCTTTTTATCACCAGACCTCAATTTCACAGATTTGTAGAGCTGAAATCTGTTTTTCTGCTTATACTTTCTACGACATTTTCAACGTTATAGTGTCTGTTTTGGCAGATGCTAATTTCAGTCTAAAAGTTCTTCAAGCAACTGTTTTAGACTTTGGTTTCCCTTTGTTTGTTTTTACTTATTGAGCTGGTTTGTCTGAATTTGAATGTTCCCACCACTTGGGGTTACTTTTGGACATCTCTAGGTTGCTTAATTATTATCAAGTTGTGTCCCTCAATGGACGATAAATTAAATAGTATTTTTGTATTTCCTGTAAAAATCTTTTTCTCAGGGTCCATTGAGAAACACAGCTCCATCCTCTTATATATAATTGGTCCTTTTAGGACTGCTTGCAACAACGGACAGATGAGAAGAGGAGGGATTATAACTTCAAAGTTTATGTGCGTAGTATCCATTTCTCCTGTAGGCAACATTAGGTTTCTCTGTTTCTTTATCAAGCTGTGTCCCTTAATGAACTCAAGAAAAAAGATTTTACGGTGAGTACAAAAATCCTATTTTTCACATAGATTGTGGGTAGAACTGTGGCCTTTTGCAGCATGTTTTTGTGCAGTTTTTCTCATGCTCTGTTGTGTGTGCTGAAAGGGGGTTCAGAGACAGAGAGAGCAGTGCTGGAACCAGGGAACACGCTGGTCTGTATTTTTGTCAATTTAGATTCAGAGCCATTCAGGAAAATAGGATATCAGAGAGAAAACCATGTATAGATGATGAACGTGAGAATATAAAGTTACAGCTTTTCAGCTGTGTCCTCTGGGTCGTTTCAAATACCTTTAACTTCTAGCACTATTACAGGTTGCCAGAACCTGTAAACCAATTTTCAATGCAATAACAATAACAGCTTTGTTTCTCTTATTATGTTTCTGCTCTTTAAGGCAACAGAATTTAGAGTAAAGCTCCATTGCTACATAGTTATTTTATATTATTTTTCTTTTTTCAGTCCCCTTTTGTTTTTTTTTCGACCACATGGAACTTCTGAAGCCACCAAAAACGCTGTCACTTAGTGGAGTTGGGCAGTTGCCAGTTGTCCAACAAGAAGGCCTGGTATAGGCTGCGATGGCCACTGTCATTCCTGGTGATTTGTCAGAAGTAAGAGATACCCAGAAAGTCCCTTCAGGGAAGCGTAAACGTGGTGAAACAAAACCGAGAAAAAACTTCCCTTGCCAACTGTGTGACAAAGCATTTAACAGTGTTGAAAAATTAAAAGTCCATTCATACACTCATACAGGAGAGAGGCCCTACAAGTGCACACAACAAGACTGCACCAAGGCCTTTGTTTCTAAATACAAATTATTAAGGTATAAACTCTTATTTATCTTTCAGCTTTTGTTAAAGGGCAACTCTATTCAGTGCCAATTAGAGAAGCTCAGGGAGGAGACTGCAAAAATAAATCGTTCCATAGTCTTATCCTGCAAACTGACTTGTTTTAAGTGGCTCTGTCACTTCAGCATAAAAAGGAAAAAAAAAGCTGCTGATTGGTATAAGGGAAAGGAACCCAGAAGTGCCTGCACAGACCTACAGTAACATTCAATCTTCTGCTGCACCCAAAGCTGGACCAGTATGATCTGGAAAAGCCTTGGTATTTCCTTGTACTGTAATAGCTCCTTTCCACCACCCCTGTACCCCTGTAGTAAACTGTTTTTTACTGTTTGGCCTATTATTTTTAGGGACTGCCTCACTGTACAATACAAATTTGTGGAAGGGGTGGGAAAGTTTTAGAACTTATAGGGAAATGCCAGGTAGATTTGTTATTAAATGGACACTCTAATTTTATTTATTGAATCCCAGGTTCTAACAAAAACATAGGTTTTGTTTTAGTTTTGTATTTCAGTGCTTCATATTGTGCTGGGAACCTGAGAACCAAGGTGTGCACTGTATGCAGACTCATACTTCTCCCTAAGATTAAAGCTTAGCTGAAAGTAAAATTACATTTTTGTTCTGGATAGTAGGGGTAACATTTTACATTTCTAACTGTTTTTTATTTTTGTATGTGGCCCCACTGGGGAGATATTTTCCTTCTTTGCCTGTGACACAGGACAAGAAATAAGGAGAGTGTTTTTTACTTGGACAGGAAGGCACTGACAATAAAAGTAAAGGGGATCTAGTAGGTATATAGGTGGCAATAAAATCCTGATAGAAGCTTTAATCCTGTCTTCTCTATCTAAAATAAAATGTTTTGGCTGAGGTTGGGCTTCAAGGTTTTGAATTCCCCACTTACACTTACCATCACCTGTCCCACCAGTAAAATCAAATCACTTGAAAACAGAAAGAGATGGGAAGGCTAAAATTATATGTTGGACTATGCTTTCTCTAATAAGAGTTGCAGGGAGGGGAAATGTTGTTTGACATGGCATGCACACCTCAGGTTTGGTGAGTTTCCTGGTGAATGTAAAAGCACTGCTCTAGAAAATTATGGCCTGCAATTCAATTCCAATGCTGACATCCTTGTGAAAATGCTAGTTGGATGGCTATTTAATTGACCCACTAGTTTAAGTGATTTCCGAGTCACTAACCCAGAACAAGTATCCAGAAAAAGAACAAGAGAAAATATAGAAGTCCTTATCTGTTGTCATGCTCTATGCGTTGACGCAAAGTATGGAAGTAAGAGAAGCAGTGTGACAGCCAGGAAATTAGCAATTTCAAAAGTTAAATTTCGCAAAAGTAGCTTCCAGGTCTGTTGTGATAGGTCATAAGTATGTGATGGCACATCTGGGATAATGCATTTATTAACTACCATAAAATCACAGTGTCAATTTAAAAAACGTTTTGCATTAATGTGCCTCTCTACGGTGTGTTGACTAGCAGCTTCTTCATGATGGGTGTTAAGAATTTCTCAAATATATCTAGGGTACTCACTCTTGGTGGGCTTAGAGGAAGGCTGGTGATTTCCATAAGTGCACAAGCCAAAACATTGGACTGTCTGATCATGGGAATGAGGGCACTGATTAGCATTATTTAAACATTAAACAGCACCTGCACCAACCTTGCTGCTTCATTGATTGGCTCTGAGTGGGGTTGCCAGCTAACTTTTTGCTCATTTATTGCATGTCTTGATTTGACTGTAATTTAACAAGCTTCCTCTGTAACGTTTTGTTTTAAAGAAGGCATTGAAAAATATTGTGCAACGGATATTGGAGGAAAACTCCCCTTTTTTAACAAAAAATGTTTAGTCTGCTTTAATAAGATGTTAAGGTTTGATTTTCTTGAGCTATGTTATTCATTAAGTTTGAAAAATGCAACTTTTGCTTTGCCATTCTAACAGTTATTTTACTTGACTGTATCTGTGTTTAAAGGCATATGGCTACACATTCTCCAGAGAAAACCCACAAGTGTAATTATTGTGAGAAAATGTTTCACCGGAAAGACCACCTAAAAAATCACCTCCATACCCACGATCCCAATAAAGAAGCCTTCAAGTGTGAAGAATGTGGAAAAAACTACAATACCAAGCTTGGGTTTAAACGTCACTTGGCTTTGCATGCTGCTACAAGTGGAGACCTCACCTGTAAAGTATGCTTGCAGACTTTTGAAAGCACAGTGGTGCTGTTGGAGCACTTAAAGACCCATGCAGGCAAATCTTCCAGTGGTGTTAAGGAGAAAAAGCACCAGTGTGAGCATTGCGACCGACGCTTTTACACTCGCAAAGACGTCCGCAGACACATGGTAGTGCACACTGGGAGAAAAGACTTCCTTTGTCAGTATTGTGCACAAAGGTTTGGACGTAAGGATCATCTAACCCGTCATATGAAGAAAAGCCACAATCAAGAACTGCTTAAAGTGAAAACGGAACCTATGGACCTGTTGGATCACTTCACCTGCAGTGTTCCTATTAAAGATGAGCTGCTTCCTGTGATGTCCTTAGCTTCCAATGAGCTGATATCAAAGCCATTCACAAACAGTTTGCAGTTAAACCTCTATAACACACAAATTCAGTCCATGCAGAGCTCTGCAACTACACACCAAATGGTTGCTCCAACATTGCCTTTGGGTATGCCATGTCCAATAGATATGGATTCTGTCCATCCTTCTCATCAGCTTTCGCTGAAATACCCACTTAATTCTACCTCATATGCCATTTCCATGCCTGAGAAAGAACAACCGTTGAAAGTGGAAATTGAAAGTTACCTTATGGAATTGCAAAGTGGCATGACGCCTTCCTCTCAAGAGTCCCCTTCATCTTCTTCGAAGCTAGGTTTGGATCCTCAAGTTGGGCCATTAGATGATGGTACTGATGGAGTATCCCTCTCAAAAAGTTCTGTATCAATTAGTGAACCTCTTAACCCATCTTCATTGGACTTTAACCAGTTATTCAACTTCATACCTTCCAACGGTCCCCCTTACAATGCACCAGTATCTGTTGGGAATTTAGGAATGGGTTACTCTCAAGAAGAAGCTAACTCATCAATGGCACAGCTACCCCCACAACCACAGGATCCTCAAGATCCTAGCAATAACATGTGTTTTGGTTCTTTACATGCATTGTCTTCTGCTTTTACAAGTAATCTGAATTCAACCACAACATTGCCACGATTTCATCAAGCTTTCCAGTAGGAGTTTATACTATGGATTGCATTAGATAGCTTTTTTTATCTTAGTGCCAATGAAAAGACATTTGAAACACCTCTACTAGTCTATACTTTAACAACCTTAATAAGCCAGTACATTGTTAGCTTTTCACCTTTTTACAAATGTCTTAATTGTTTACTCTCATTTTAGACTCCTTGCTGTTTGTGGCAGTATGCTATAATGCCAGCTAATTTTTATTTTTTCTACAAGTAGGAAATATTCATAGCTTTAATGCCCAATTTATTATTAAATTATTCAAATTGGTCAAGTATCAATGAAAACGTAATCACCAACCTAAAAACGTTCATATGTTAAAATGCCAAATTCATGATTCTAAGAATACACTTTTACAAAAAGGATATTGGAACATTAATGTGAGTTTAATTGAAAAAAAGTACAATTTTAATGCAGCATTTCGATAAACCTTCAACTTGCAACTGTTATGCAATGCAGTTATGTTAAATATTCACAATTGGTTGCACTTTTGTATTTTATCAATTCACATTTGGCTCTTTTCAGCCAGGGCAAAAAAGTCCTCTGTTGTCAGAAGATTGTATGAAAAAATGCCTCAGCCTGTAGTACTGACTACTACGTATGTGCCTTCATTAAGCCAGTGTCAAAAAGAAAATATATATATATAGTTTTTGTGATGATCTGTTTATATGGTATGGTACTGCCGTTCAACAGATACATGTCGCCAGCACTTGCAGATATTTTTTACTTGGTTTAGGAGCTATTTTTTTTGCCAACGTTTCAAAAGAGGACTCTAAGGAGTTATGTATAAGCATATTGCTTACACCACTTTGATAGAAACTGTTATAACCAGCCCCAATCAACATGCTCTGATATCTGATTTTAGGCATTAGGAGGGAAGACAAAGTCTATAACCGAAGAGTTACATGGTTAATATATATATATATATATATATAAATTAGTTATAATAAAGTGTACCTGAGAAAATATGGCAGGGCAAAATATAAACATTATGGGAAATAAAGTTTCCATTATATTTTCTTAGTAAGTCATTTTTAGTTTATTGTTTTCCAGTTACTTGTAAATATTCATTGTATGTCTAACAGTATTTTTCTTCTAAAGGCATTATATGGTAGGAATTGTATTTTTTATGCAAACTGCTTTTAACATTTCAGAGTGAAAATAACAAATCTGTGCATATGATATGCACCCACAGCTCTGATATTTTAATATTCAACCTATAGTTTCTATGAAACAAATTGATGGCTTTCATTGAACAATTAGTGTTCAAGGTTGCCTTTTCTTCACAGAAAAAAAAAATGCGCAGCAATAAAATACAGAAGGGAATAGTTACAAATGTTAATAGCCAGCCTAATCCATATTGAGGAAGGGTAGTTGAAAGGGCTGTAGATTTCTCAAAAAGAAACACACCTAAATCATCGATTGCCATTTTGTTTTGAAATGTTTGAAAAGTTTAGTTTCTGTGTTTTTAGTTTTGTGTTTCAAACTCACAAATGCTGCGTTTTTTTTTTCTTGTTTTTTTTTAAATGACAACCCACTTCTCTGAATTTTAGCTCCTCTTGTTCCCTTTTATTTTTGTCCATTTATTAGGCAGACTACCTAAGACACATTAAACCTGCCTTTTAATACATAAGGAGAAAAAACACCATATATAGGCTAAAACTCGCCACATTTCCTAAATCATGGCCTTATATTGGATATTTTGGGTAAATAAAAGTGCCATATATTTATATTACTATAGTATACTATGTCTCAGTTAGTATCTGGATGTAAAACATTTTATGTATTTGTATGTGTGTGTATATATTATATAAAAATATATATAACTTGCGCCAACACCCTTAAAGTAATAATTAGCCAAATTTTGCATTTTATTGGAAGGATTTTTTCTTAAAGAATTATATGCCATTGAAAAATTATAAAAAATAATCAAGACAATATGTTGAACCTTAACTGGTCACCATGGCTTCAGACAGGCTATAATGTTACAATTGTCTTACCCTAGATTTAAAACATATAAGCAATTGCTGATTATTTTTAATGCCTTAAATTAGCCCCACTCTTGGCAGCATATCCATATTATGCTATCCAATTATATTTGGCCCCTTTGACCCATTTTTCATAGTGGGCATCCACTCTACTAGATATTAAATGGTAGAAGAAGTCCACTGGCAAAATGTGTTGGGTTTTTTTTTTTTTTTTTTTGCATAACACATTTTTTCATTTATTGTATGTCCAACCTTTAATTTGTGGATTACAGTGAATTACTAATTTTGCCAGTAATTTTTTTTCTTCTTTTTTAAAGAACCATATGCTGACTGATACATGAGCCAGAGCTGTTTGCGTTGAGGTTATGAATGTTAAGATTTTCTTTCAGGATTATTTGCCTAGTTTGTTTGATGTGTGTCATAGGCCAATATTTTGTAAGATGAAGCTTGGTTGACATCTATGTTACACATATTATGAAATATAGCACTTTTTTGGGGAAAAAAATAAAAAGCTAAAAAATGTGGAACCTTTTATGAGAGAAATAAGGTAATGCTTTTATTATAGAATTTTTTTTAAAATAATGTGTTTCCATTAGGTTAAAATGATGTAGGACGTATAGTAATAATGCTTTGTGAGAAACCCTAGTTTTGAACAGGTACAACTTTATTTACAGTGTTGCTTATCCGATTGCTATGTTGCACAAACCAGTGTCTTTTTTTTTTTCTTTAATTTGTATTTTTAATAACTCTTGCTGCCAGAAATACTTGTGGAGTATTGCAGAATTCCACAATGGATTCCATTCACACAAGTATAAGTGTTTTCAATACTTACTGATTAGGTTTACACACTTCAAGACACACTGCCTTCTTCAGTGGGACGTTTGACAAGCAGGCTTGCACTTGTAATAATAATGCCTGGGTACCACCTTCTTTAGAACAGGTGTGGATAAATGCCACCATTATTACTCCTGGTGGATGGAATCATCCATTATGATGTGCAAATCAGCTTAGTTGATACAGCCATTCCTATTATGAAAGCATAGTTTTGTCCAAGTCTGTTTTTTATTTTTTGTATACATTTTTTGTAGTAGGATTGAAGTTGCTGTAGGCACACTGTTGTCAAGCACTATCCTGTATGTGGGGCAGAATAGTTTCAAATACAAGAAAACAAACTAAAGCATATACAGTATGTGGAACATTGTCAGTATTCAAATTAAGAGCTTGAAATGAAAGCACAGATATGTCCCCTTTTAGTTACTTCAAACATTTGGCACTTATGTTCTTTTTTTTTAACCGGTGCTATATAACAGATTAATGTGGAATAAACATTGTTTGGTAGTCTTGAATTTATGCACTTATTTTTGGGTCACAAATGGGGTGGCAAATTTCACCACAGTGTTTTTCTATTACAAAAAACCCACAGTACAGTTGGCCTCTACAGTGTTAACAAATATGAGAAAGGGAAACACTACTGAAATAGTAGAGTGATGAAATGAGGGAAACACATGCAGCCTAACACTGAGTGTGCCAGATGACATTCCTCAAAAAGCTGAAGACTAATCATAAATGAAGGGCACCCAAGGACTTGTAGATCCTCAACAAATGGAGAACTGCATGCTGCATTTAACTAGGCTAACAAGAAAAAGAATAGGAGGGAAAAAGAAACAAAATTATAGGTTCAATAATGCTGTCAAACCCTCAATTCCCTGAAGATATTTTCTAGCACTTGTACTGTACCATCTTAGCATTTTGTTTGAACCCAACATGTTTTACATAAGATTCATGAACGTGACTTGTGATGCAGGTTAAAGGTAGCCATAAAAAAAAAAAAAAAAAAAAAAGCATACAGGCTGAGTTGATATGTCAGTGTAAAAGATAACAATCCATAGCGCTCAATAATTGTTTACTGTAGTTTGAACAGGTAAGAAATATGTTTGGCTGCTGCAGGTTACTATTTGCATATTGCACTACATTACTGACAGAGCCAGATAATGTGGCCATCCAGCCAACATGCCCACTTTTAGAACTCTGTAATATACCCTTTACACTATTACTTGTACAATGCAAGATGAAAGGGTTAATAGTTAAGTCTTTGTATATTAACCCTTTCACAAGATTTCTTTTGGAACATAACTACTCATAATTATAAACCTGTTTTCCCTTTAGTTCGTTATGAATTTATTGGGACATGTAAAAAATAACTACAAGCCATGGGAATTGTTGAAGTTTTCAACATATTTGAATAGGCAAACATAAGATCTTCATTCAAACTGTGCCTACAGATAAAGGTGATATATATGAATTAAAAGACAAGAAAAAAAAATGCCTTTTATTAATTTATTGAACAGAAATATTAATAGATGTATACTGTGGGTAAAGTACACCCTTGGCCTTAGAAGTTGATATTGCCCCCTTTTAGCAGATTCACTTCTTGTAGCAGTTTTGCATAACTTCCCACCAATCTCCAATATCGACTTGGTGAAATTTTGCCTGTTACTCTATGCACAATTCCTTCAGTTGCAAGATGTCTATGGATTTCTGTGCATGACCTGCCCATTTCAAACCCCCACAATACTTCAGTAGGATTGAAATCATGGCTTTGACTAAGCTGATCCAAAAAGCTTTGTTTCATCTTTTGGAGCCATTCTTTTGTGAATTTACTGGGGTGCTCCAGCTTTCAGACAGATGGTCTCACATTTTTATTAAGCACTCTTTCATATAATGCAGAATTCATAGTTAATATAATGACTGCAAACTGCTTAGGCTCTGAAGCAGCAAAGCAGTTCAAAACCATTATATTGAGTTGGTATGAGGCTGTTCTCCCAATATACCATCTTTGGTTTTCACGAAGCATGTATACTGTTAATTTGACTAAACAACTCTATTGTTGGCTTATCAGTCAACAGAATATTGTTCTAGAAGGCATGATCTTTTCCCACATGTTCAATGGTAAACTGTTGTCTTGCTTTTCAAGCTTTCATTTCAGACAGCAAATAATTTTGC